TCCATTCTTTCATGACTAATTTGAGATAGCACTTTATTGTATACTAATTTTCCATATGCAATGTTGAGCCTATTTCTGAATTTTATAACATGTTATATTAATTTATCTGTCTATATTCATGAGACAACATATATTGCTTTAATTATAGAGGCTTTAAAATATATTTAATCTGGTAGGCTTGGTTGCCCCTCATTGCTCCTATTTTTCAGGGTTTTCCTGGATGTTCTTGCTTTTTATGCTCTTCCAAATAAATTTTATAATCAAATTGTCTGGGTCCATAACAAAACGTGATGGTGTTTTTATAGAGATTGCATTGAATTTATAAATCAACTTAGAGAGAACCGACATTTTTACTGATGATGAGTCTTTCAGTCCAAAACCATGGTTAACCATGTCCATTATTTGAAATCTACACTGTGGTTTACAGTTTTCCTCATATAGGTCTTGAACACTTTTTTGTTAAGTATTCTATTTTATAATTATCAGATTAAATAGACATGGATGAAGATATAGATATAATAAAATGCTAAGGAATTTAATGGCATTTTCACCTGCAACACATTTTCATGTGCCCCATACCCTTGGCCCATGGTATTACACTACTTTTTATATCACCGACTTTCAGAGGGCATGTTAACCAAGCACAAAAGCAATCCTGGTAGAAAGGGAATTGCCCAACCACACAAGTTCTTAAATTTAAGCAATATCTCTAATTCTTAAGTGAAGTGTCAGGATGCATATTTGTAGTATGAAGAGATACAACATAAACTATATGTACTTCATTGACATTGTCCTTTTTTTATTTCTTCAAATTATCATCCACTGTGTTATTAGAAACCCTAAACATACTAAGGAACCGAGTCTCCGTATTCTGAATATTTTTTTAAAAAAACAAAGCAATTGGGATTTTCATAACCTTAAGATAGCACAGATTTGCAACTTTGACCAAATTAACCGTGACTTTACTGTTATTTCACCAAATAAATAAATTTCAACTGGAGAACTTGAGAATTTCCTCTTAATGGTTTTCTCACTGCAGACTAAATTCCCATACCTCCTCTTCTGATATTTAGTGACTGAAAATAATTTGCAGGGGGGCTTCCTGGAAGCATTCCAGTGCAAACAACCTAGAGAGTTATAGTTCTTCATTAAAAACAGGCTAATTTAAGCTTAATTGCCCTTTGGCTGATCTTTCTGGCTCTAAGCTCATTCATTCATAACCACAAATGTAATACAACAAAATATAGCATTTTCTTCTTTATAAAGATTTTTTCCAAAACTATTTTTTCATTTAAAAGCATGATGGCACCACAATGTGGTAGATTGCATTGTTGTTCCCAATTTTTTCCCATCCTAACATCAACACTCTTCTCATGGCCTCATTGTAGGTGGAGTAAACTTTCTTGTCCCTTGACTTTGGGCTTAGCCATGCCACTTCCTTGGGTCAGTGGCCTGTGGCAAGAAATGATGAAACATCATTTCTGAACCTAGAATCTAAGAAGCTTCATGTTATTCCTTGTGCCCTCTTGTAGCTCTGCCATTTAATAAGAAAAATATACCCCAACTCAAATTCTGACACCCAATTAAAACCTTGATCACCAATTCCAGTGTGTGCAAGGAAGTTTCCCCATACCACCAAGCAATTCACCAACACTAGCTGAGTATCCTACAATTCAATTCGATGCTGATACTATATACCCAGCGATGGCATCAGATCCCACAGATTAAGGGCTCAGTCCTTCAAGACTGCTCCTACTTCAGATGCCAACCACAGGTCCAGCTTGTCACCTGTGCTTCTGACTGACTGGCTGTAGATCGAGATTCCAACAAACCCTCCTTCGGTTCAGTTAATTTGCTAGAGGAGCTCACAGCATCCAGAGAAACATTTTATTTAGCAGATCACTGGTTTATTACAAAATATATATAAAATATAAATATATTAATAAATATATAAAATATTCATATAAAATATAAAATATAAATAAATACATAATATATTATAATTATATATAATTATATATTATAATAGTATAAAATATATGTAATATATAATTATGTATAAATAAATATATATTATATTATTATATATAATTATAATATTTATAAATATATAAACAAACATTTATAAATATATACAAATAAATATATGTAATATAAATAAAAATATAAATAAAATTTATATAAAATTTATATAAAATATAAAGATATAAATAAATACAAAATATAAATATATATTTATATGATATATATTTATATATATTTTATTATGCAAAATATATTTATATTCTATATAATAAAAATATTATACACACACACACACACACACACACACACACACACATATATATATATAACTCAGGAATAGCCAGATGGACAATACATAGGGCAAGGTATGTGGGAAAGGTATGTGCAGAGCTTCCATGCTCTCTCCAGTTGTGCTACTCTCCATGCATCTCCATGTGTTCACCCACCTGGAAACTCTCCAAATCTCATCCTTTGGGGGATTTATGGAGGATTCATTTCATAGGCATGATTGATTAAACCATTGGCCATTGGTGATTAATTCAACCTCCAGCCCCTCTCTCTCCTGAAAGGTTCGGGGGACTGGGACTGAAAGTTTCAACCCTCCAAACACATGGTTGGTCCTCCTGGCAACAGTCCCCATACTTAGATGTGGTCCAAAAGTTACCTCATTAACATAATAAAAAACACCTTTATGGCTCTCACCACCTAGGAAATTTCAAGGCTTTTAGAAGCTCTGTGCCAAATAGGGGATGAAGACCAAATATACATCTTTTACTAGAGATCACGGTATCACACTAACACGTTGGGACAAGGACGATGAGAGAGACACGTCAAGGAGAATTGCCCCAGCAGCCCCCCAAATCTGCAATGCTAAGTATAGCTTCCCTAGCCGCCTCTGCCTGAAGAAAGCCCCATCAATAAGCCCAAACTGCATCAGGAGAACTTCACTAGACCTACAGATTCACAAGGTTATGAAATGCTTGTTATTTAAGCCACTGAATGCGAGAGTTGTTTGGTATGCAGCAATAAATGGCTGATTCCACAGTCACTCAAATCCACAAACTAAATACTGACTGAGTCTTAGACTTTTCTTTTTCTTTCACCCTCCAGATCCAATCAGTCTTAAGAAGTTTGTTCTGCCCTTGTGTCTCTGCCATGCCACTCCTTTCCATTTTTTTTATCACTGCTCAAACTCATGTCTGATCATCGCATATCTGAATTATTACAAAGACCTTCAAACTAAACTCTGACTTCCTTTCACTCTAATCCATCTTCTCTACTGATACCAGAGAACTGTTTTGTTTGTTTTGTTCTTCGAATTACAGATTTAGTTATGTCCATCCTTTGCTTGGAAACCTTAGATTTGTATCTGCAAAATCACAGACCCCTTTTCCTCACCTCTGTCATAATGGATTGTAGCCATAAGTTTTCCTCCTGAATCCAAAAGGGCCCTTAATAGGAGGGTTCCCAACAGCCACTCTTCATCAGTATAAACTGTCTTTCCTGCCCTGTACTAGATAATTTGTCATTGCCATTGTCCATTGTCATTGTCCAATTTGTCATTGTCTACTCTCAAATTCAGACTATGACCCTGAACTGTATCCTTGGCCTTACCTTCTATTATTCTTTCTCTACCTTCACTGAATCCCATGTGCTAACCTCACTGAACAAACTTCCCTGTTCCCCAAACAGTCTATTGATCTCCATAGTAATGATACTGAAATCTCCCCTACCAGATATGTCTTTCAGCCCACAGACCTCAAGGTCAAGCTGAAATGTTTGCTCCTCTGTGAAGGTCTCTTTGACATCTTCTTCCACTTCTATCTCAAGGTTCTACCCTCTGGATGTCAGTAGGACATTGTTCTATTGACAACATTACATTTACTTGTATCATAGTAACTCCTGATGAAGTGTCTCCTACTTATAAGTAGAGACCTTGCCCTACTAACCAGATTGAGCATTTAATAGGCACACTACAGGCTGGATAGATAAAACTACTCTTATGAAACCATCCAGGCGGCACTTAAAAGTCTATGATGCAATGTTTTCCTGCCAAATACGATTGTGAAAAGAACTTTGGTTTTTTTTTAATTAAAAATCCTTTTTACTTCAAAATTATTTAGAAATCGGAGACTTGATGAAGCTCCAGGGATACTGTCATGAAGTAGTATAATTTGTAAAATTAAAGGAGTTTTCAAGGTAGATTTTACACATGTTAATTAATACCATTTAAGGAATGCCTGATTTAACGAGAGACTATCGCACATACAAAAGCATTGTAACAAATTAGAGTAATAGAAAATTGATTCCAAAACTATGAACACAATTATCATTTGACCATGCTTATCCAAAAGCAGTGGCATTCAATCATTTATTTATGCAACAGAATAAAGAAAATAACTTTCAGCTTTCGAATTAATTAATATAATCACTTCTAGCAAATGTAGGCATTACTATAGCAAATTAAATTTATACCAGAAAGGGAAAAAATAGGTACATCATTTAGTGGGTTAAATATAAAATAAGAACAAAATAAGCTCACTCTTGAACAGACACATGAGTCTATAGATACTATGTATACCTGACGTTTTAGTAAAATTTGCAAACACTGAAAAGTACTACCTATTCAGTTACCACCACAGTTTATGCTTCAGAAAACAGAGAACGTGATCTCTCAATAGGACATACTTTCCATGTTACCACTCGACCCTAACAGAATGACCCTATTCCTTAGCTCAAAGATTCAGGGGCCTGCTTTTCATCTGAAGTGACAGATTTGAAGATAAAACTGTATCTCTTAGGTAGAGCATTTGTTCATTAAACTTGAGGTTCTGGGTTGTGATAAGAGCCCAGGGGCGGCTTGAGAACTCACATAAGGACAGAACCACGAGAATTGGAGGATTTAACTCCCATTTCTAAGTGTGATCGCTTCTGGGAAGTTAGGAAAAGAGGAATGTCTTAAAAAGGTTACTTACTGTGGTCACTTCTTTTTCCTGGGTCATTCATATTTCTTCTCTCTTACTTAAAAACAAAGTATAAATTTCCACTGACAGGTCTTCAGTCCCTAGAAGAGTAGTTCCAAAATGGTGTGCACAAAACAAGCCACAATGGTAGGAAAAGGCAACATGACAGCATCTTCTGAAGTATATTTTATCTCATCCTCTTTAATTTAAACATTATATTTTCAAATATTTTCATATTTTCATAGGTTTGTAATAACTGTGTATATTCTGTCACAATATGATGTGCATTTTTCTAAAAAAATAAATATATGTTGGAGTATGTCACGATAGAATATTTTTACATAGGCTACATGATCCCAAAGTTTGGGAAGGAGCGCACAATATAAATCACTTGGGTCCAGAAAAACATAATAGGGCCCCTATTTATATTTGTTTTTAATCTATAAATAAGAGATCCACTAAGTTTTACTATATTCCATATGTGGCTATCACTGGAGCCGTCCCTTGATCCCTCTCCTTAGTCATTTGATTCAGAAGGTCAAGTTTCCCATCTGCTATACTAGATATTCTTAGTAAGATTGGGGGAGACTGTGCTTGCTTTTATTTTTTATTTTTTTTTTAATTTTTTTTTCAACGTTTATTTATTTATTTGGGACAGAGAGAGACAGAGCATGAACGGGGGAGGGGCAGAGAAAGAGGGAGACACAGAATCGGAAACAGGCTCCAGGCTCTGAGCCATCAGCCCAGAACCTGACGCGGGGCTCGAACTCACGGACCGCAAGATCGTGACCTGACTGAAGTCGGACGCTTAACCGACTGCGCCACCCAGGCGCCCCTGTGCTTGTTTTAAAACATACTGCAACATACTACAGTCTTGGTAGGTACCAATAAGCTGGTTGATAGATCATATTATTTAATTAATTAAACAAATCCTCACAAAAATGGACAAGTGGCTTCTTCCCAAAAGTGCAAGGTGAAAACAAGAAACCGAAACACTTGCTAGTTTTCCAAGTACAAGCAAAATTAAGAAACTGACAGAGTTAACACTCCTTTACCCCTAGCATGATCAATCTTACCATCTGCTCCATAGCAAGGTATAGACAATGGCCACCTAAGCAGATTTGACAAGAAGAGATTCAGGTATTCCAACTTATTGACAGGACTACTTAATGTATGTCCTAACTCCATGACACTAATGAGAAACTCTGCCTAAATTTACATTTCACCCTGAGATACTATCTATCTTTTGCATCCTCACTGTATTTTTTTCTAATTTATAAATTATATGTTTCAAAATGTACATAATTATATACATGTGTAAAGAAATATGTATAAATGAGTGGTTATAATTACATAAGTAGTATGCATCAATATTTATTTATTATTGGGAATGGATGCCTAAAAATTCTTAATATGGATGCATAAATAAAAATTTGGACACTACAATTCTAGAGAACATAAAACTTAAAGAAAATAGATTAAATAATTTTCTTTAAAGAACTATTATATCAATCAGTTACCTTCATAAACTATGTAGCTATATGAATTATGGAATATTCTACAGTACTCTAGCAAGTATCCTTTTGGCTTAGACTGGAATGACACTCATTTACTTTTGCCACCCTGTTGTTCTGTAGGATTGAATAAGTCCTCTAGAGATCCAACTTGTGTGCATTGAAACCTACAAAGAACCTAGTAATGATGACAATGTGAGTATAGTATAGTCCTTGACCTCCAAGAACTGACAGTCAAGTGTTTATTAACAGGAAAAACATAATTAAGAGAATCTTGAGGGGCGTGTGGGTGGCTCAGCAGGTTAAGTGTCCAACTTCAGCTCAGGTCGTGATCTCATGGTTTGTGAGTTCGAGCCCCACATCGGGCTCTGTGTTGACAGCTCAGGGCCTGGAACCTGCTTCGGATTCTGTGTCTCCCTCTTTCTCTGCCCCTCCCCCACTCGTGTTCTGTCTGTCTGTCTGTCTCTCTGTCTCTCTCAAAAATAAATAAAACACTTTAAAAAAGAGAGAATCTTGAAACATGAAAATTTTTAAACATTATTTTCTATGTTCAGGGAATTTTTAAAGTAAGATAAAAAGAATAAAGTGGAATTAAGTTGCCAGACTGCAGTTGATGACTTTTAACTTTTCATCCTTATAAAAACAGAAATTAAAAAGATATCTAACTTCTTATTTCACATGAAATTAGTAAAGATTAATAAGATATTACATAGATTTTGTTCTTTCTTAAAACACACACTTACATACACACACACACACAAAACTCCAAGACTGTAAGCTTTTACAACCAAGTACTCAACTTGTAAAAGATGATGACACAATGAATGTTACTTCAGAAAAAAAATTTTTTTAAATGGCCCAGAAACTGAAATGAATTCAAAAACTGTACCATTAAAGACTAGAATTTTGCCATTAAAGTGAATGCTTTTTTTTAATTCAAAAGGTTATTTGTGAAGAGCTCACTCTGTTTAAACAAATTCTAAATTTTTATTTTCTTCAGTGACAGAGCGTTTGTTCAACAAACTAGCAAAAGGGCATGATAAAAATCTCACTAATATTTCCCAAATGTGTAGACTTTCTAGACACTATTTGGGTTACCAAATCCTTTGTGGCCCGCCCAAAACTCAGTTCCCCATGGTCATAAATCATTTCCGTTTTGAGTGTAGGTATTTTTCACTTCTACACAGCCACTCTACTCTAGTGGGAAACTTTTCGTAATGTTTCCAGTGTGTGTTTTGATTCTGTGTTATGTGCACATGTAACATGGGGCATGAAGTACTATTAGGAAAAATGAAATGATGACATTCTCTTATAGCAACAATCTTTTCTTAAAGTACTGGCAATTAGTACCAAAGATTACATCAGCTTCATAAAATTCAGACAGTTAAAGAAAAGCACAATATACAATGAGCCACATTACTGAAGGAGCCAGTCATAAGTTAGGGAGAGCAGTTAACTCTTTATGATTTAAAGTTTGAGTGTTCCTTAGTGAAACATTCTTATTCCCACTTTCTTAGCCTCCTTCTTTATTTAGAAAACTCAGAGTTGGTTACTTTACTACTTATTAGCCCCTATTGGAGAGAGGAGGGAAAGAAAAGTAAAGGAAGCAAAATTCAGACCAATAAAAGTATCTATTGGCATTTCTCATAAAAAAAAAGCAGAGTAAGAAAAGATGCTGAAATAGTGTGCTAAATGGCGATTTGAATTTTATCTTATTGCTCACGACCCAGTTCCATTGTCTCAAATAACAGAAATCAAGCTTTCGCGGTTAGTTACGTAACGTGATTATGGAGGAGAAGCTTTATGTTACTCACAATATACATGTGCGCTAGCCTCGAACACCATTCAAGATGACAGCATAACGCAGAGGAGATCAAGTAAAGATGAGGGACCAAATTTGGAGCCTAAGACAGAACCCAGAAGAAAACTATCTCTAACGCTAAGTAATAACTATGTTTCAAGGGCAGAATCCCTGGCTTCGTCTGTCTCTAGTGTTGAATATAGAATTCCCACCCTGACTGGAAGAAGATCCAGTTCCTGACACCAACAGTACCGACTGCTGCCTCTTGATTCTTTCATCATGACTCTACCGTCAAGCAGACATAAAATAAACATGGCAAATACTTTAGTCTTAGCGTTCTGTGAGGACTGAACCCCCCATGCTCCATCATCTTCCTTGCTTCGTTTTCCTTCATGGCCCTTAATACCAGCTGCTGTACTCAGTTATTTTGTTGTTGTAGTTGTTCTTCATAGTCTATCTTTCCCTCTAAAATGTAAGCTTCAGAAGGTTAAGGATGTTTGTCTTTGTATTCACTGCTGTATGCCCTGCTCCTGCTAAAAGACCCAGCACATAATAGGTGCTAAATAAATACCTGTCAAATGAATGACTGATTGGCCCTGGTGTCCGCTTCTCTGCCTATGAGCCCAGAGAGTTACTCGGGTCCCACTGACATCGCAGGTGTCATCAAAGTGCCTTCATTACAGTTACAGTCTGCAGAGATTTAGCCGACAGGCAATAGTGGATGGGAAAGTCCCCCACTTCCTGCTGCCCTAAATTTCAATAAAAGGGTATGAGGAAACGGAGGAGGAAAAAGATTCCTCCAGAAGCTGCAAGTGTCTGCTTACTCTTGATCTAGTCTTCTCTGGTCTTAGTGTAAAAGAGTTGCCTACTGGAGAAGCGAATGGACCTTGATAAAGGGCTCCTGGTCCAAACTCAACACCGAGGGCTCACGATGATGTCTTGGCTCCCCACTGCCATCTCCTCCAGTGCAACACGTCAAGGACACCACGGGTTGATGTCCACTCAGGGGTGCTATCTCACACCGCTCACCAAGCTAGGGGCACTGCCCCCTAAGCTGCTAAAGCCACAGCTTCCCTCAAAAGACACCACGGTTGTCACATGTCACTTTGTCTAACCATTGACATGGCTACTGTCTCATTTAATTCTCACAACACTCCTAAGTGTTACTATCGATGTCAGCCAAGGAAACCCAGGTCTGGAGAGGCTGGTTGGATGTGGGAGTTAAGAGTGCTTCGTCTCTCACCACCCCTCCGCTCACATGCTGAACTTCGGTCGAAATTACTTACAGCCTCCAGGGCTAAGGTCTGTTATTCTTTCCATTTTACAGAGGGAAGTCAAGTCCCACGAAGCAAATGACTTGCCCAGTACAGCACAGTGGCAGGGTGGGAGAGCTGAGACCCCAGACCCACACTCTTAATCACTTCACCACAATGCTTCCTAACGTGTCCTCACACAGAAGCTAGCAAAATGAATACGACACGTACTCGTATAACATTTTAACACTGTCAGCCTTTTGTGCACACATTATCCCATTCCATTGGAACGACTTCTCCGACAGTCATTATGTTGGGCCGGGGATGAAAAAACATATAAAATACCGAGGCAGGAAGCCCCAGACTTCACATTTCATAGAACAAACAGAAAAAGCAGCTGAGGTAACCATTACTGTTTTCCTCTTTCAGTACGAACTGGTAGAGAGGTAGGAGATCATAGCGGAGCAAATGGAAAACTTCCCCAATCCCTGTTTGGCCTCTGCCTTCTAGTCGCTTCGCGTTCATAGTTGGCCAATTTGCCTCCTGAGTTCCAGATAAAGTGTAATTTAATTAGGAAACTTCCATATATACACTGTATCTCTGCATCACATTATACTAGGCTAAATCTAGGCTATACCAACTGCTGATGTGTTCTTCAAAAGTGCCTTTATACTTGCTGTTTTGCTTTAGAAATACTCTCGGTATAAAAAATACCTGACTTTTCATGGACCAGGTGCTAAAATTGGTGGTCAGGGTTTATTCTTATAATCACAACCCTAAGATTCACCTTTCGGAGAAGCACCGTCAGAAAAAGTTCATGCTACCCTAAGTATAGTTCAATCAAGGCTAGAAAAAGTCTTAAAAATGCCCATTATTTCCATAATTATAATTCTTCCCCTACTAGGAAGAGGGGTCAAAATGTGCTAAACATCTTGGCTGGGCAGTTGGAGCCCACCCGCCGAAGCACAGAGCACTGAGCCAGGACGCTGCTTGGTTGTCTTCCCCATGTGTGCGTCTGTGCAGAAATGCAATTGTGTCATTATCAACAGATACTAGCTTAGCAAATGATTCTGGTATCTATTTCCCATGATCTGGGCAGAAAGACGGTCGCTCTAGGGCAGACAGGGTAGATCTAGCCCACTGCAGAGATCCTTGTGACGGCCACAAAAATGTGTAGCTGGTCCTGAACTCTAGGGTTACCAATTAGGCTATAGTGAGGCTTCTGGAATTGGTCTCATGGATACTGAATGTCTAACAGAAGAGGGTGTGTGGACTCTGAGGAGAGCACCCATGTAACTAAGCTGTTGGGCTAGGATATCAAAGAGCAAGGAGATAGACATTTCACTTCTAAAGAATCAGATCTTGTTTTAAAATCACTGGTGAAGTGTCTGGTGTGATGGGGTTTTGTGTTGTTGTTGTTGTTTTTGTTTTTGCATAGGGGATGACCATACGGTGCCTGCTTACATTCCCACCCTTGAACCCTGCACTCCAGCCTTTTCTACTTGTAATTCCAGAGCAAACCAGCCTCTCTTTGTTCCCTGACCTTTGCACGTGCTAGTTTCCATATATGGACTGTTCTTTTCCGCCCCTCACTGTACTCTGAGTCGGGCTAATTCATCCTACAGGTTTTGGCTTTGAGATCATTTCTTTCAGAAAGCCTTTCCAGGACCATGTTAACCCTACACCAAGACTGGAGGGAAATGATTTACACTGTGTCTTCTAATTGTGTGTTCGCTTGTCTCTTTCCACCTGAGAGCTCTAATTGAGGGATCATGTCAGATTTGCCATTACCTTCCCAGAGCCTAACACAGTAACTAGCACACAGTAATAATTCAACAAATAAATGGATACAAGGTAAGAAAACTTAACCGATCATAGCATGCCTCATTCTTGCTTGGGACACGAAGACTTTTTTTTAAGTTTATTTATTTATTTTGAGAGAGGGAGAAACAGAGAGAGCAGTACGAAATGAGGAGGGGCAGAGAGAGAGAGAGAGAGAGAGAGAGAGAAAGAATACCAAGCAGTCTCCATGCTGTCAGCACACACAGCCTGACACAGGGCTCGATCCCACAAATGGTAAGATCATGACCTGAGCCGAAATCAAGAGTAAGACACTTAACCAACTGAGCCACCCTGGCGCTCCACACAAAGACTTTTGCTAAAACAAATAGGGAAAGAAGTCAGTTGATGAGTTCCATGTGGCTGAGCAGAGATCTATCTATCTTTTGAAGTCTAAACTCAGAACAATAAGGCTGAGACCTCCCAGTGGTTAGATCAGTACTGACACCGGAAACAATCAGTCTGGAGTAAATCACAGTGAGAAGCCTAACTAGGAAATGCAAGTTGGAAAAACAGAACTGGATTTAGGGACAAAGGATGAATTCATACTAACATAAAAAATAAATAACTAAATAACTTTGGGCTCATTTTTAAGAGCTTTACTGACTAGAGAAATACACCATAATAAATATTTTGCAATAATACACATATCATCCAAATACATTTGTATATATATTTATTCCTAAATTAACTGAGATTAGCTGATATATATAATATATATTATATATATAATATATATATAATTTTAGTCTCTTATCAAAAAATTTCTTTGTTAGCCCTATAAAATGCCATGTGGATATGACCACATTAGAGTTTTAATAAGAATGATCCAATCCAAGTATATTCAGCAGATGATAACTTTCTTGTGTGCCAGTTTCTATGCCAAGTTCTATGTAGACATTTCACTCAATCCTACTGACAGCTCTCTGTAATATGGGTCTAACTATGACTTAGAAGTTAAATAATTTCCCCTAAGTCATTCAGCTGGTAAGTGGTAGAAATGTGATTCAGGTTTAAATGTGTGTGATCCAAATGGTCGGATTTCATTATTATTTTATGGCTGAGTAACATTCCATTGTATATATTGTACATCTGAAACTAACATGACACTGTGTGTTAATTGGACTGGAATTTTAAAAAATAAATAAATTCCACAAAGTAAAAATGGATAGATAGATAGATCTGATCCAAAGCCCATGCTCTTAATCACTGCATTATACTATCTCTACGAAAACTGGCATATGGGTCCCTATTTATATTAAACATTTAGGTAAACCAGGTAAGCACGTTCTACTACATGGCATCAATATTTATGTGAAGCAAGCCTTATATGCACCGACCATAGTCATTGAACTTATAGTGGTCAAGGTCAATGTTATCTGGCTCAGAGTTATGAGCCAAAAAAAATAAGTGGCAAAAGTTACCTTCTGGCTAAATAAGAGAGATGATTCATTTTGTTTTGATGGCTGCTTTGACAGAAAATCCAGATTCATGAAAGTAAATTGATGCAAATCATACTCATACACATTAAAAACTCGAGAGGTTACCTTAAGGGAAATCAACTTCTAATAATAACAGAATTTTCTGTTAGTGTCTCTCAAAAAAGGTACGCTAAGTTCCCAATTCAATTTAATATTCCTTTCAAGGCATGCCTAAATTGACCATTCTCTGATTGGTTTCTAAGAAGATTTAAAATCTGAGTAACTACATCTCAATGTAAATATATTACACTTCTACTCAAGATGCTTATTTGGTTTTTCTTATAACTGTTAAGTATCATAGGTGTCACTCGCTTCCTAAAAGTACTATTGACCACAAGAAATACTAGATACATATATTCAAATTCACTCCTTAGCTCACCAGTTAAATTTAGCAACTCTCCTGAGAAATGGCTAATATTAGATTTCCAGTTACCAGATGCTCTTTCGTTTCTTATGATGCTATCCTTTTTGAGTTCTAACTGGTTACCAAAGAAGATTCGTGATTAGCTGCATACTTGTGATCTCACTAGTTTTCTACTTCTTTCTGCTCTCTCCATAGCTCTAAGATGAGTTAATTTCATGGAACATTATTGAACGCAATCAGATAGAAGGATCCTTATGGGGAAAGGATTAATAATAATACCTCCTCCTATTTATATGTCAAGCCATCAAAGTCAAAAATCATTCTCATCAAAGAATACAAATTGACTACTTAAGTAGCATGCGCTGTCTCATGTAACTCATAAGCTTATAAACCAAGGTTCCCTGGAGATTATATTCAACAACCAATAATACACAGTATTTTAAAAACTTTATGAATCTATCAGCTATCTTTATACAAGCCTCCTAAAGAGTAGGTATAAGTAATAGGCTAACAGTGAATAGAACAAATTCATTAACTCATAAATAGAACAAATTTAAATATCTTTTTTTTAAAAAATGGTGCATAAAGTGTCACAATAATGTTTATGTAGTTTTGTACAGGACCATAGTTCTATCAGCAATACTACCTTGGTCTTGGAATATTGGTAGAGGCACTTATAACCTTTTTCTCTTCGACTCAAGGGCAATGTCCCAAAGAGCCTTAGGAAGGATTCTTGCCTGTTAAGGAGTTCACAGAATTCTACGAAGCCAGGTCGATTTGATGAAAAATGCCTCAGGTGGTGACGACTCCCCTAGTTAAAGTTAACCCTTTGAACTTGCCTACCAGTGGAAACATGGTTTCTTGGCAGTTCCTGGGACACCAACAGGGGTGCATCTTCTCCCAGAATACACCAACAAATCTACTCCCAGGGGTCCCTGTTGCCAAGAGTAGCCATGGCCTTTATTTCATGGTCCTGTAGTCTTCAGTGACTTCTCACCCAAGATTGGCAATACACAAAGTGCTGAGACACCTGCTATGTAACGAAAGATAATTTATTGGGCCATGCCCTCCAACTTTCTGGTCTGATATTAAGCTTCAAACTTCAACAAGTCCATACAGATCCCTCTCTCTATACTTAGAACACAAAATATCAATATGAGCCATGTACCTCACACATATCACAGAGCTACTATATTGTCTCGAAAATGTAATCCCTCCCCCGCCCCGACCAAACTGCAATTCCCCTGACATTATCAAACCCTGTCCTAAGTAGCAAAAAATGTGCCCATACAAAAATCTGACAAGAGCTCTACAAGCAAATGTGTATACAGCCATGCACTGGCCCGTGTTCTTGCTTCACCTAATTCTCTTCAACAGTAACATATCATCTCCACTGGAGAGCAGGAAACGTACCTGACTTGCTCATCATTCTACGCGCATTGTTTAACAAAGTGCAGGTCCTGTGGATGCGACCAGTGAGTAAATTTGATGGCTTTCCAGAACTTCGACTGCCACCGCTTCCTCCATGACAATGAACCTTAAAGGATGACAGTGAAGTTGCTGAGGTCACCAAAGTCCAAGTAAGGGCAACAGAAATGGATCACAAAAGTCTCCTGACTGTGGGTGAAGGCAATATTTGCTTTCTTTGCACACCAATGTAGCTGTTCACAGGTGAGAGGTTGCCAAAACAATACCTGAATCTGTAGGTCTCCCACCCTGTACTGCCCCCCACCACCCGTACTGCTCAGAAATGGTCTAGCCAACTACTCTCCTGAAGCTCTCTTGCTGTGTCATAGTGCTTGACTGAGTGCCCACTGTAAGTCAAATATTCCCTGCAAGAAAGCTTGCCAGGGCACCACCAGTTTTCACAAAATTTGTACCTTTCCAATGTCTTACTCGTAGAGAGATGGTAGACATTTGTAGGAATGAGGCACTTAGACATCTGCGTTTTGTTAAGTTAAGCTGGTCAGATTCTGAAACTTAGGCACTGTCAGCACATGCTCCTATAAAAGACTGCCAGTCTGAACATCTAATATTTTTAGCCCAGCTTAGCATATATTAAATGAATGGATGAACGAATAAATGAACGAGTGACGGAATTACAGAATGAGAGGGCCAGTGTGACCAAAAACTAGGAAAAAAATCCTTTCCTGTTCTTCTCTCTGCCTTCTGTCCATCTTTATTTCGTATTTCTGCCTTGTAACCTCTTTATAACATCCCCCAAACTAGCCTTCAGAAAGTCCCAAATTATCTCCCCAAAACTTGTAAATGCCAAGCTTTGGTAATACCATCTACCATTTATCTTCCCAGGAAATGGAAGAATCCCCCAGGGCCATATATCCGCATACTCATGACAGAGGGGCAAACCTTCCAGGAGATCAATCCATATATCTGACTGCTTTGTAAGGGATTTACTAAGTGCAAAACAAATCATTCTTGGCGCCTGACTTTTGAAACATTTCCCTTTGTGTTTAGAAAGTGCAGTCACCCGGTCACTTGCATTCTGAGATGTGAAGTTTTGCAGATGGTTTAGTGTGTGCTCACTAAGATGGTCTTCCCCATTAACTCCTCAGCTCTCAACGCATGCTGTTTCCAAGTCTGTTCTGGGCGATAATCTCATGGCCTAGCAATAGCCTAAAAGAATTAGTATTAGGTGCTTGGTTTAGCACTAAAAAATTTAGAAATATATTAACAGAAGTTCTACTAAAATGGCCCATCTGTGGATCCTGAGTATACAGGCTTTAAGGAAAACACACACACACACACAGTAAAAGAGCAGTGTTTGCAAAAGAGAAAGGAAGTTTCAGGAAGTGTCTTCTGCATAGTATACTCTCTTGGACTTTGTGTTCCTATGCTGTTTTGAGTTCCTTGAGAGCTCAAGCCTCCAAATTAAAAATTGGAGGCCAGTATTTTTATCGGGAGTACTCTCAGAACTGATAAAAGAATGAGGAAAGCAGGATTTGGTAGCAAAAAAAGTTAAAGAAAAAAAAGTTGGAACCAAGATCTCAGCCAGTCCCCCAAAGAACTCTGCAGCTGGATAGGCCTTCAGATTTGTCTCCAATGAGGCAAAAGGGTAAGGCCATTTTACCCTTGCATCACCCCCTCATTGAACGTGTGCTGCCCCTAGAGAGAGACGACAGTGTTAGGGAAGGCAGTCATCTTTGGCAGAGGGCGATTGCTAGGAAGTGACTCAGCTAAGAGTAAACTAGGCTAATTAGGCCACGTCTTGATCTCCTGTGTTGGCATATGAGCTATGCCAACGCTCCCGGCAGCTGAGGGGATGAGAGCCTTGTTCCTGAAGGGAGAATCTGGGCAGCACTCCACAGGGTCCGCTACATCTGCTGTATCTACAGTTAGAAATACGGGAACATAATAGCCAATTGAAAAGTATACCCTTCACTTTTTAAATATCGTAATGGTATTCTTCCAAAATATGACATGAGGAGAACATTATCAGAAGAAAACTGGAATCCTTGAAGATGTCACAGCTATTGATTTGAACTTTTTAGAAAGTCTTAGCCTAAGCAGCAAATTCCAGATATGAGCTACCAAGCTATCACTGGAGAAAGAAAGCTTTTTAAATCATTGTTTACATACTAATAACGATCATCTCTAGTTTTTCAACATTTCTTCAAAGTGAGAAAAGTGTGTATAAATGAACCACAAAGGTACATAAATGGTTTCACCAACTCCTGGTGTTCCTTCAGGAAGATCAGCCCATGGACTCACATTTCATACATAGAGAAGCAAAATCCCTTAGAGGTGCTTTTAGCAATAGGGATGGAAAATGTATCTGGCAGGATTACTTGTCTCACCGTAGGAAGCCAGAATTAAAACCCAGGACTCATCAAAGTTTGCAGGATTAAGGCACTTAGCTAGCATTTTTTGATTGAGTTGGCCAGATTTTGAAATTAATACACGAAATACATAATGTTAAAACTGCTAGCACACTGAATCCCTTGGAAGTGTCCATTTATGTTATAAAGTTTAACGTTATATATGTAATACGGTGCATCACAGAGATACACGACACTTACCATAAGAAATGACACTAATTTACTTCTGAAGAGAAACTTATAGCATCAGCTGTGTCCGTGCCCGTATCCCAATTCAATGTCATACTTTAAAAGATATTTACTTCTTCAAGAAGATTTAATGTAGCCACAACTACTTAAATGCCTTTTGAAGATTTTGAGGATCTGTAAAAATGTCTGGTGTCACTCTACTCGAATATTACGAAAATCCCGTTGAAGCCACCATTGGCCACAGCTCCAAAGTCAGACGGTTTCCTCTCTGAGTTCCAGGAGTTGTAAGGATGATGTGTGTCCACTTAGTAACGTCTTTAAGAGATGATGTTGTGAAAATCCTGACTGTTGACTTCTAACCTCGAGACCGGCATCAAATGGCCTTATTCGTTAGTTGGCAATCCACCCTAGAAGCCGGGAGGCCCCATCCGGGCTCTGCTGTGGCCTCTCAGCTAGTGACATGCAGGTCACCCAGGAAGGCTAGAAGTCAAACAATTGGGAAACATCCATGTCTTCATCCGTTCCAAGCGTGTCGATACAAGCTTCTTCGCTGGCCAGGAAACACAGCCAAGGGCAGAGAGGGCACCGGCTAATCATTGCGCCACGCCTTGGCCAATGGTTCTGTGAGGCCTTCTTCCCCACGGCCCAGCCTTCAAGGAAGCGCCGACCGTCTCTCTCCCTTGACTCCACGCTGCGTTCATCTCAAAACAGGGCCACGCCATGTCACTGACCAGCCGGACTCATCAGAAAGGCCACCATTTCAGTAGGAAGTCCGACCCAGATGTACAGCACTCCCAGGAAGAACAATGAGAATGGCGTATTAGCCCTCTTCCCAGTAGAGGAAATGGGACGGGGAAGGCGGCACGGGGCGAGATGAAAAAGAAAACAAAGTAAAATTTCCGTGGCTAAAACGGTATAAATGACCCACGAGCCACGGCTTCAATATCGTCTGCTTCATTCAGAAAAATGTGCCTGGCGAGTAGGTGCTACGTTCCTCGGGTACTAACTGTAAATTAGCAAATACACCTGGGCTATTAAAAATGAGTCTATGGGCAAAAATACTGCTGTTGTGAACCAGATGTTTATGCGAGTCCCTGTCTTGTTTTCACTTGCTAAATTTTATATAAATTTATATTGATAATGAAGGGGCGCCTTTGATGGCTGGTGCCCCAGTCGTGGCTCTTTGCCATCCAAAAAACCCTTTTCTTTACTCCTTGATCTGCTCTTTGCAGAAACGAGGCTTTCCACTCAGATAATGGGCAACATCTGTTCTTTTCAGGAACTATTTAACAAAGATTTTGTTTCCGTGAAATATATATATATATATATAAATGCCCAGATCTACTCTGTTCTCGTGGGGAGAAATGATACACTGTGACACAAAATGCAAAGGATGATAGACCAAGGGAAGTTCTAGCACAATAAAGGATGTTTGCGAAACAGTATCTTTGGGATAAAAACACAGGCTGCTTCAAGGGTTTGGGGACCTGGAAGGCAAGGGCCCTAACTTTGCTCAGGCAACTTGTTTTGGGTAGCTTAAGCCCTCTATTAGCTGCAGGTGCAAACATTGCACCGGTAGCTAATTGCAGCCAGAATTAGACCAAGACCATTGTGGGAACAATTAGACACTTAATTCTGAGGATGTGACTAGCCCACAATTAGCCCTGGCTAAAGTGTTTGTACCCACATGAAGGGAGACCGTGCGACTGTGCCCAAACCAGTCAAAGTTGTTTTTTTTTTTTTAACCATGCACCTCTACATTCTGTTTTCCCTTTGTAGACAGAACTTAGGAAAAATAACTGGACGTGCAATGGTAAAATATCCATGATAAGAAAAACCACACTGAATGAAAATGAAGCCGCGTTGTCAAAGATACAAATAGGGGCAGCCGCACACATATAAATACGAACCGGGAAAGAAACTCTGTCAAAAGAGTTGCTTCAAACAATGAATTCCTTAGTTATGTCTCCTTTGCCAAGCCAGCAATTTATGATAATGGTGTAGAGAAGATTGCTGTGAGCTTGAAATCATTAGGTGAGTGTTCTTCACCTGTGATATGTTTATCCTCTTAAATGGAGAGGTTCTCAGGGATTTATGCCTTTATCGAAGTGACATCCAAATGGACTCACTTTCCAGACTCGGACCTTATTTTTCCCCTGCTACCATTCCCCTTGGAACATTCCCCAGCCATCCATGTTTTAAACATACAGATATTTTCTACTTGGGCATAAGGAAAGCTAGGGTTTTCAGTCACGAGTTCAAAAATGCCTTTAGTTAATCCAATAACCTTTCTTACACTACAGGTACGGTTTGAGAAACGACATGTTTTTCTAGTTTCATTTTTATTTGCTTTTACAAAATAAACGACTTGTCTTTGAAAAATCAGAAGCCTCTCAAGCACATTCTGTTACAGTTTACTGAATGCTGTATAAACCTTAACGTTCTATTTATTGCTCGACTAGAATAATACAACAGAGCCAAGTTCATATCATCAGTTAAGTACCCCTTCAGTGCATGATAAAGCAAATATTCTACATTTGCCTTCCTCTTGTTTCATCTTCTTGAAAGGCTTATATTTCATCGATGTTTAAAAATATTCATGTGTCTACAGGAACCTGGGTGGCTCAGTCGGTTGAGTGTCCGACTTCTGCTCAGGTCATGATCTCACGGTTCGTGAGTTCGAGCCCCGCATCAGTCTCTGTGCTGACAGCTCAGAGCCTGGAGCCTGCTTCCAATTCTGTGTCTCCCTCTCTCTGCCCCTCCCCCCTCACGCTCTCTCTCTCCCTCCAAAATAAATAAACACCAAAAAAATTTAATACAAATAAAAATATTAATATGTCTCAAAGTGGAAATTTCCCCATAGAAATGTCTTCCTCGCTCTCAGAGACAAGTCGGTCTAATACGTTCTACTGCAGACTTTTTAACTAAATCATTAATTGGTTTTCAGAGCTCCTGAATTTACTGGCAGAAGTTTAAATGTACCCTTAAAATCAAGGGAGAGGAAATATAATAAATGTGGAAACTCTATCATCCCTTCAACTACGAGACCACTTCTAAGTTAATGCTGTGCATCATAACTGCCAGTTACATAAGCTCTGTATATAAATTATTAAGCACTTGAGGTAGTAACACTAAAGCTTGTCCAAATGGAAAGATGCAGTGAAGTTTAGGCATTCCAGTGACTACAAACTAGCAATCCTTCCTTTGTTATGGCCACTGCACAAATGTCAGGAAGACGCTGTCAGGGATTTCCTATCACCCTGAACCACAACCTTTGCATGGGACCATCCATAACCAAGTGACCTTCTGCAGCTCATTAAAGGTAATGTAATGGATCATTCCCTCCTAATTGTGATCATCAGCAAATTAGACTCCTTTCTAGGCTAGCCAGGCAGCAGGGAACTATGTGCCTAAGTAGAATGCATGAATAACTTGTCTTTTAGCCACGTGCCTTTACTCCACACAAAGGAGAATATCGTAGAGTTGGGTGGTGGGGCAGATATGGAAGTTCTAATACGTGCTAGGATGAGCCTTATTTACATCATCTCGATGAAGCCACAAGATTTTTTTTAATTTTTTAATGTTTATTTATTTTTTGAGAGAGAGAGACAGAGACAGAGACAGAATCTGAACCAGGCTCCAGGCTCTGAGCTGTCATCACAGAGCCCGATGCCGGGCTCGAATCTACAAGACGTGAGATCATGACCTGATAAGGCCGATTAACTGACTGAGCCACCCAGGCACCCCTAGCCACAAGATATTTTAATCCTCTTCCAGAACTCAACCTTCATCCCAAAGCAGAGACGAGAGTAGAGAAAAATGATGCGGGTACTTCAGGTGAGGCTCTTATTTGGCTAGTTTTGTAGTTTTGTAGTTATTCTCTTTTCCCTTCAGCTGACCTCTACTAGTAATTCTTGAACATCCAAAATACTATTATCTAACTACTGGTGGTAGTTGTGAACTCTTTGGAAAATCCAATACTGTGATACTGATTTTTTTCATTTAAAAAATGATATATGGGGAAAGGAATGTAGAAACCCATGTGAAGGATAAACCACAAATTCTTAGCATGAATCAAAACAATGTATCTAGAATTCTTATTCTATCTAATGGCTCCTACTCCAAATACATTTGTCCCTGAGAGATCATTAGTATACATTTTATGATTACACTGTGGCTTTAATAGTTCCCTAGCATTTGGAACGTTACTGGAAATTGAAGGTTAAAAAGGAATCTCATTAGATCATGACATCGTGCCAAGGATTTTCTAATCTATTGGGCTAAGCAATCTCTGGAGGGGGCAATTTTAGCCTAAACATGAAAGGTGCTGGACGGTAGAGGCAGGATTTATCTCAGTTAGCATCAGGAGCTCCACACACGCCACCAGGTGAAGGTTGGCCAGTCTTCTTATGACTGGGCTCATAAGTTCAGTGTGCATCCAGCAAAAGGGTGTGGATGGATTAGGAAACATCCATAATTCCCACGGTATATAGATAACACAAAATCTGCCATGAACACAATGACACAAAAAATGTTTTAGAAGAGCCCTGGCTTTCAAGATACAGTCCCTTAACCAGCAGTATCAGCATTATGTGAAAATTTGTTAAAAATGCAAATTCTCAGCCCCACCACCCTCCCACCTCCTTACATCTACTGAATCAGAAGGCCTGGCAGCGAGGCCTGGCCATCTCTCTTTCACCAAGCCCTAAAGATGACCGGGATACACGCTAAACGTTCAGAACCACCATATTAGGACACAAAAGATAGGGTGACTAGTCTACACACATTAGCCTTATATTCCAAGAAAATATTTTGATATCACAATGTGAGGACATAAGTTACTTACAAATGGAAATGATGGGAGGAGCCAGAGACCCCAGGGCACAGTCTCAGGCAACCAACCTTCTGGGACCACAGGTACTGGGCAGAGCCAGGCCAGGGATGTGGACCAAGGTGACCAGATGCAGCAGATGGGACGCCTGATAGCACAGCCAAAGCCCTGACTCACTGAATAGCTTTGAGCCTTGAACAAATAATTTACTGTTGCTAGACCTCCTAAATTACAGTTGGACTGTATCTCTGGGGTCCCTAGAAACTGAACTATTAGTAAAATTCCTTTCATCCATGCCCTGCAACCTTTGTCCTTGTCACTATTACGGGACATTAACTACCCTCTGAGTCAAGGAAGAGACAGGCATGATTTTGCACTGTCTGTTGGAACACAGTCTACTGAGGCAAGTATTTACAGGTTTCGTGACGCTCAGATCCCACGTCTTAAATACGCTTCTGAATTAAAATGGGGCAACTAATACTTGCATTCTTCCTTACTTGCTCTTCCAAGGTAGAAGGGGGAAAAAAAATGCCTTCAAGTAATTTTTCATACTCACAAGTTATCATGATGAAAAGTACATTTCTGTGGACCTGGTTTAACCCTGGCCATGCATTACAGAAATAGCGTGTAAACAGCTCTTCCTGGGCTCGCTTTGGTGGCACATACACTAAAATTGGAAGGATACAGAGAAGATTAGCATGGCCGCGGCGCAAGGGTGACACACAAGTTCATGAAGTGTTCCATATTTAAAATAAATAAATGAATAAATAAGTAAATAATAAAAAGTAAATTAAAAAGTAAACAGCCCCTCTTTCTCATCGCGTGTAAAGGAAGGGCCATAATTGTGCGGCTCTGGGGCGTAAGGATACTAAACAGAACCTCATGTCTTTAAAAAGATCAGTGTTGGTTTATGACTATATTACCGTAGTTGGCAAAACCATAATTGCAGAAGGATGAGGAGGAGTTTATAAAACTGGTTTCTCATAAT